GGGAGAGAGATGAGAGGGATCTGGGGAGGGAGAGGGAATTATTCTGGAGAGAGGTTGGGTTCTGGAGGGTACGGGGAAGAGAGAGGGTGGGGAAGAGAGAGGGTACAGTAACTTGGGAATTTGTGCTTGAAATCCAACGGTCACAAAACTTCAGTCATATCCAACGGCCCAAAGCAGTTTCGCATTGTTGCTGTGCGAAGGAGTTTTCGCATCCGAAAACTTCTATATATATATATATATATATATAAGTATACATATATATATATATATCATAATATTATATATATATACATATATATATATATATATATATATATATATATATATATATATATATATTCATATATATATATATATATATATATATATATATATATATATAATTATTATATATATATATATATATATTCACGACCCAACAGGCATCACAGCGATCAAAGCACTCCTGATCCAAAAACAAAAGCAACCCGATCGCTACTGAATCGTCAACCGTCTTTACGGTCTATCGACGAGCCCAGCCAACTGAGCAGAGCTTTAGTTAGCATGTACTTCATACTTATACTTATATATATATTATATATATATATATATATATTATATATATATATATATATATATATATTATATTATATATTATATATATATAGTATATATAACCGATCTCAATTGATTACACACATACCTATTTATCCTAGAATAATATCAACCATAATAAAACTCATTTATTATTATTTTCCATGATATTTTCAAATTTATGGGGTTTTAGACAATTATAGTTGTAAATGCCTCTAATGAGCCAAAGGTTACATCTGTAAGTATTAAAGTCTTGCCTATAGATGTCCGATGACTAAGGCACTATTTTTAAGGACTATCGTCTCTTAAACTGGATGATATATGTGGGTCCTCCCATTATGGATGTTTCAAGTATGTTGGTCACGCTCGTGCCATACCTCCTCTCGGGTAGCCAATGAGTACAAGTCTTGCCTACCGCTAGATGCGTTGGTGGTTTCTACAGGAGCGGGTCCCTCAAGTCATGTGGAAATTCGCCATTCTTCTGATCCCGATGATTTGATTAAGTTAGAGATCCAAATCCTAACCGACATCTTATTGAAGCTATTCAACCAGAGCATTGAATTCGCCTTGGTATATAGAAAGGCTTATATGCTCGTAACCTTGCCTTGTTGAGGAATCTGTTTGTTCTTTTGACATCGGTCACAAGTCCTCCACATGCTAAACCTTTAGAGTCGATGATTGACGAAGTTAAAGTCCATTTTTTAGAGTTACAATGGCTTTACTTGGCTAATATTGATGGCATTGCTAAGCTCAAAATTCTATCTTCTCTCGGTAAAGCACCATGAGGTCGAAGGATCCGCTCGCAAAGAAATGGAGCTTATTAAGACGAAGCTTCAAGGGTTGAGTGATAGCCTAGTGACGGCTAACGATCACCAAGCGAAGCTTCAGAAAGCCATTTAGGAGAAAGAAACCATCATCAACGAGGCCAAAGAAGCCATTGTCGAAGTTCAGGCACGATTAGAGGCAACTCAATATTAGAAGGAGGAGGTTGAACTCAAGTTAGCTGAGTTGATTACAGAGTAGGATCTTTGGGCCATGGAGCTTGAGGCTAAGAAGAAGAGGTTGGTGGATTTTGAGACATAAACTACTCTAATTGATCCTAGGGAATTGAACAAGAAGGCACCCAAGCTGCTCTAATTGATCTTAGGGCTTTGAGGGAGAAGACTAAAAAGATGCTCAAGGTTAGGGATTCTAACATAGCTAAGTGTATTGCACGTATACACACTTTTTACCCTTATTCCTTGCAAGGATCTTTGTAAATGGTTGGCTCTTTCAATGAATAAAAATACTTTTGTCTCCTTTTAATGTGTATACGGTAGAGGTGTAATGTTAACATATCGTGTTGACATCTTTGCTGGGGATAAAAATGATGAAATCAAATTGATAGAGGTGTAGTGTTAACACATCAAGTTTGATTAGATTAGTACTATTTAGAGTTGTAATGTTAACATGATAGTATTAGAGAATTTTACAGAGGTGTAATGTTAATGTGTCAAATAAAATGACCGACAGAGGTGTAATGTTAGCGAGTCGGTTTTGAAGGAGTTGAAAGGATGACTACCATTTGGATGTGTAGTGTTAACTTATCAATAGGAAATCGATGAAAGTGTAATATTAACTAATAAACATTTTGGTAAAAGCAGATTGATAGAGGTGTAATGTTAACCGATAAAATCCAAAAATATATATCGACAGAGGTGTAATGTTAACTGGTCACAACGAAATGGTCTAACTGAGGTGTAATGTTAACCAATCGGGTTATTAGAATGGAAACCGTTCAGAGATGTAACATTAACATGATGGTGATAAAATATTTAAAGTCAAGCTGAGGTGTAACGTTAACTTGATGACTCATTTGGGATTTTGTTTAGATTTTCAAATCAAGATGATCAATGTCATAGGTGAAAACTTGAACATGACCAAAATCTCTATGGGGAGATAGTATGAGCCAGGATCAAGGGTAATATTTCTTTAGAAACTTCCTGTTGATTAGAGATATGAGCATATTGCTATTTTTGTCAATTAGGTGGTATACTTCATTTGAGTAGACTGGCTCTACTATAAATGGGCATTTCCATTTAGATTAGAATTTTCCTTTAGTCTTGTGTGTCACAACCATGGGTCGATGAATGGCTAAGGCTGAATCGCCTTCTTTGAAGGATGGTTCTCTGACTCTCCTATTGAAGGCTCTTGAGATCCATGAGGGGTAGATCTCGATTCATTGTTGAGCTTAAAGTCTTAACTCATCCAGCACCTTAAGTTCTTGGAGACGCTTTTGATGATGTACTTCAATTGGCAATTTCTTGGCAAGGGCAATTCTTAATGATGGCCTCTAAGTTTCTAAAGGGACCATAGCTTCACATTCGTAGATTAAGGTAAAAGGCGCCGAGCAAGTAAGAGTGTAAACTATTGTTCGATAAGCCTATAAATATTCTCCAAGCTTCTCATCCTAATCTCATGTTAGAGGAGATGAATTTCTCTAGAAGTTTGATGATGGTCTTGTTGAAAGCTTCGGCTAGACCATTAGTAGCTAGGTTATATGGCGTAGAGGCCACATTTTGAATTCTAAATTTATTACAGAATCTAATAAATGATTGACTGATAAACTACAGACTGTTATTATGGACTATTTGTCTAGAGATGCCAAATCGGTAAATCATGTGATGTCTCAAGAATTTGACTACTTGAGATGTGTTGACTTCTCTGAGCGGAACAACTTTGGACCATTTGGAGAAGTAGTCTGTAATGGCAAGTCAAAGCAATGGCCTTTAAATGGTGGTGGACTAATTAGGCTAATGATATCCATACCCCATATTTCGAATGGCCATGAGGTGACAGTTGGATGCAATTCTTCCAGAGGTTGGGGTAGAGAAATAGTGTGGACTTGGCATGCATGACATCATTTAGCGTATGCTACCACATCTACTATCATTGTTGGCTAGTAATGACACAGACAACAAAGTCATTCCTTAAGTTTAGGATCTGGTTGATGACCTCCACACATACCGTCGTGAGCTATTTTAGTGCTTCTTCAGCTCTACTTGGTGATAAACATCAGAGCAAAATATCATCGAATTATCAACGATACGATGTCTGTGTAATAGAACCATAGAAAAAACATGGAGCTCTTCTTTGAATAGAAATCACTTGCTTTGGATCATCAAGTAATATTCCAAGCAAGACATAATCAATGATCAGGAAACGCCAATTACTAGCTTTGATGTATGTTGGCATGACATGCACTTCGCTAGCTTCCAAAATTTGCTTTAAGGAGCATAGTTGATGGCTAGTCACTATGACAAACCTAGTACATTTGGGTGTCAAGGCAAGAGTGGCTGCATGCGATGCCAAAGTATACGCATGAGTGTTTTCGAGGTAGGCTATATAATTGATGTAGAAACCTTCAAATGAATGAGCTAGCTTCATTGCTACCTCATGATAAGGTATAAGTTCATTGTGGTGGATCTCATATTCCCTTTTAATCTGATTAACAATCAATTTGGAATTGTCATAGGCTTCAAGGTATTTGATGCCCATATTCAGAGTAAATTGCAAGCCGATCGAGGGGATTATACTCAGCCACATTGTTGGAGCATGGCTTAGTCAGTGAGTAGGCTCAAAGAAGGACATGTCCATGGGTATCGATCAGCACTACCCTGACTCCCATAACAATTGCTCCATTGAGGTTGTATCTTGATGCACTATAAAAGTAAAGTCACCATATATAGTGGTATGAGGTAGCATTTGACTCGAAGACTTAATCCGGGATGTCTTCATAGAGTTTAGAGGATTCAGGATGTGGTGGTCTGTTAATAAGTCAGCAATTGCTTGACCTAACTAATTTTTGTAGTACGAATGTCATATCATATTGTGAAAGTGGTATTACCTATTCTGCTAACTTGGAGTTTAGCGATCCACATTTCGTCATGAGTATTCATCGAGGATTAACTCTTGAAATGATGTGAATAAATTGGCGATTGAAGTAGTATCACATTTTCTAAATAGCAAAAACCAATGCTAGGCATTCCTTCTCAACTAGATTATAGTGATGTTCAGCACCAATTATAGTCTAGCTGAGGTAGTAAATGGCTTGCTCAAGTCTATTATCATTCTTTTGGGTGAAAAGTGCTCTAAGAGAGTGATCCATTGTCCTAACATAGATTAGAAATGGTTTACCTAATACTGGTGCTATCAGAATGGGTGGCTTCATGAGATAACCCTTGATCTCATTAAAAGCCTCTTAACAAGCATCATCCCAAATGAACAAGACACCTTTCTTCATCAACCTTTGAAATGGTTGACATTTCCTAGACATGTTAGTAATGAAACAATGGATATAGGCTAATTGTTCCTATAAACCTTTGAGTTCTTTAAGATTTCTCGGAGGTGGCATCTTTAAGATGGCTC